GACCGTCTCACCAATCCGTGCCGCACATACAACATATGTCTTCAAAACGATCTTTTGGCCACATTTTGCATACAGTTGTTCATTTGCCAGTGACCCGAGGGTGTTGTGACCACACTGTGTAATTGTGATTCATCGACCTTTTGCTGCAAAACAGCAGTCAGGAAAATTAGCTGATCGACCCTGACATGACACCTATTAGTCCGGGGGTGAAGACTTCCCAAATGCACATCGCCGTCCATATACATCTTACCAGACAGGTGTGGTATGGCATGTAGTATGTACATGTACGAGACAAACAGAAAGTGCAGTGATCTTTAGTTCTGGTCACAATGAGTTTTAACTCCAGACGTCGACTGACTCAGGTCGCATGGCCGACTGACCAGTTGAGAACCGGCTACGGTACAACCCCCCTATGCTCCTTCTGTCTTTTAAAATTGAAATAAATTCTTTCAGTCATGCAAATGTACATCTATAGGATTTTGCGACTGGTAAGTCAAACCAAGTACTTGGTCAAACCAAGGGGTTTCAGGACATGGCCAACGTAATCTCCCCACCCAACCTCTGCTTGGAGAGTATCGTTTCTTCCGTAGACGAAAAGGCGGAATATTTCTATCACGGCTATAGCTTTTGCGCGTATACTAGTACTTCAGCCAGTACTGTTGAAAATTGCTTTTCGGCTTGGACTTACACAGGACATGAAGTATATGTACATGTACATGTACTGGCACGCACGCCACTTTCAAGCACAGACGAGGAACAATTACAGTTCGTTTGTTCGCTGTGTACAAAGAAAGAAAGAGAACAACAATTTACCCTGAGGTCTTTCATACCCACCATTTCACCAAGACAGACTAGTGGTTTCGCTAATTCGCCTGTTTGTCTTTTGGGTCGATTGCTGTGTTGGAACATACGAGGCCATTTAGGAAAATACATCTCTCAAACATTTGAAATTTTATGTAGGAGATGACCAGCATCAGTTCAGCCATCGCTGAATCAGTTACGTACATTCAAATATTACAATATCTCAAAGTAGATGCACATGTTTTTTTTCCTGGTCTTGCACTAATTTGCAATGGTGCCTTAGGCCATGGTTTTGGTGAAGTAAGAAATTGCACCACTTGAAAGACGTACAAACCGATGGAAAATCCGCACAAAACAAGCCTAAGCCGTACACGTCTTCTCTCAGACTTGGACAAATCAGGTGGTGAACCGTGCGCCAGAGGGGCACCGACAGATGTAACAGCCACCAAAGGACTCTATTATTCGTTCCCTCGGTCACGCTTCTTTTGCGGGCATGGAGACTCTAATGAAGCTTGCCGGTCCTGCTCTGAGGAGAACAGTCGGCGACGTGTCGCAGAGATGGATGGGAATCTAAAAACCGCTTCTATTGGGCGGCTGTCCGAGGGGCGCATCGGTCGGCATTGTCTGGCGGATATTCATGAGTCTCGCGGTGTCTGCTCAGACTGAAAGGTCGCGAACTCGCGAGATTTGGGGGAGTCCTGACCGCGCGCGCACCTCAGACGATCTTGGCACGATCAGCAACTTTTCCCGCCAAAAGCTTCGCCTCAAAACAGACTCATTTTGGGGTCACCATCTTGGCCCGGCTGGATCGCCTCTTCCCACCAGTCTCCCTTTTCAAATGGTTCGTCATGTTAAGCCAATTTCTTAGCCACTACATGTGTAATATTTATAAGTCGGAAGTTAGAAACGAAGCAGCCTAGCCACGAATGACGAATTTGTGTAGAAGACTGAAAAAAAAAAAAAAAACTAGGACTGCTTGGCTGGGGAACAAGTGAAACAACGAACGAACAAGACAATTATACGTCTTTATACGTTATATACGCCCTTTAGACCGGGATAGCTTCCTTTTTATCCCAGGGTGGATACAAAATGGTAATTCAAAAGTGATAAGGCGGCCACGTCAAAAGTACTGTCCTCCGTCAGACGGATTAAAATGTATGCCGACGCTCAAACAAATGGCGCCCTATTGTCTTACAATGTTTTATTCAAGATAACCAGCCGCCTGTGAAAAAAGGGGGTGTAATTGAGAGTTTACAGGCAGTAACGAGGCTGAAAATGAAGCAACGAGGCAAAATAATAGCTCATAAACATAGTATCTTGTGCGGATCATTGGAACTATTACAAACACAACAACACAGTCATAGGAAGAACAACAGGTCTGTTCTAGCGACCTCCTCGGTTCTAGACTACCTCCCAAATGGTTGATATCTGTCTCCATGGAGACCGACAGAGAAGGAAAATCACTCACCGATCGGGCAGTATTTTACTGTCTTTCTTTAGTTTCTAACTTTTGTTTTTGTGTCAGTAGACGTATTAAACCAAGGACCCAAATCCTGTGCATTTAAGTTTTGAAAACCAATTGTGGTATTTGTCCCGTGGTTCTGATATGATATTATATATATAAAGGAGTATTTTTTGTGTTGTACTCTTCTTCGGCGTTGTCATTAATTCTTATGACGATGTCTTCTAAAAGTAACGATTATGACCCCGTCTATTGTCATTGCTTTCTATCAAACCTCCGCTGTTTCCCCCAATAAATCAAACTTTCAATTCGGTCTGGATTTTAAACCTCCTTGGTACAAATTGTACTCTGCCAAACAGAACACACGTACAGCTGAATAACTAGCCTAGATGCCAACCCTTTTACTTACGACATAAATCAGTTCCAATAACCAAACGTCAACGAACTCCAAAAGAAAAGAACGAAGACCTATTCCGAAAGCTATTAAAGTACTTTTCCCTTTATTTGATTTGATAAACAGAGCGGAGCGTTTGAAGTGTTTCCGCTACAGGAACAGGGCGGGGCTGGAGGATCCCTGTTCGCAGAAATGTTGGAAGAGAGGCGGGGTCCAGCCGTGTTATTGTGCCTCATCCATCACCGCTGATGACAAGCCGTCATCATGTACAGGACGCCTAGGGAGAATCTGACCGGAGTGCCTCTCCTTTTATTGGATTCGGCCTCTCTTTTTTTTACAGAACAAGAGCGGCCCCGTAAGGGGCAGGGAAACATCTGAAGAATTCCTAAGAAGCTAATGTCTGTTCCCTTACTCACCCGCAAGCGTTATGACCACAGGCGATGTTCTTCAAAAAATGAAACAGTCGCCTAGCTCCTCAACGTAATAAACTCTCCTTTAGCTTTACATACTTTATTCCTAGCCTCTACCAGGCTTTAAAATCGGATGGTAAGAGCATTGATAAGAATAGAAATAGACCAAACAGATAGATAGCATATCAGGGGAGTTCGATGCCAAACAAAGCAGTTTGCGACAAATTTAACTGTACTCCTTTAGCACACTATGCTATCTGTCTATTTTGGCCAATTCGTACTCTTTCAGTCTCTTCTGAAGCCTGGTAGAGACTAATATCGTAGCAACATGTGGAGATTTTATCGTCAAAATACTAGTAGCAAGTGTGTAGTGTGCAAAAGTACAACGCGACATTTGTTCTATTTAGTTATCTTCGATGTGTGTAGATTTAACGAACATAGAATATACATGTGTCATAAAAGTCAAACATGTTATGGTACGATTTTGTACCTCAGGCTGTGGTTAGATTCAGGATTTGTTTTGCCGCCAACTGTATCAAATGATAATAACCATGGCGTCACAATTTAGCAGAGATTCGATACCGTCTGTGAGTAATGAAGAAACGAATGACCGGGGTACGTTTGCATATTCTTGTGTGTATTCATTTTTTTCGATAGAATTTCATTTGTACGTATGATGAAATACCTATTAATAATAATATACTGTGCATAAACCTGCTTTTCCATGTGATTATCTTGTATTTCGTCACGCTGCTTTGTAACGCCCGGTGTTCACACAGTGTATAATCACCTAGAATTATCACCTAGTTGTAAATCACGACCGTTTACAGCCCTCCACTGGGCGTGTGGACTTGTCTTTCACGTCCGCACCTTTGCGCGAAGTCGTTTGTTGCACACGTGGGACTCTGTATGGGGTACACGGTCATACATGACAATGACTAGAGAATAGATTTAATTGTTTTTCTCATTCGTCTGCCTATGCTTTTGTGTGAAGCCAATACGTTAGAACATCTTTGATGCTACCGGTTCTGTTGTCTTATCGTATAAGTGACAAAAAATCTGTTGTGTTGAAACCCTTTATTGCTTTGATGCTTTGATGCATCCATGGAGAGCACCTTCCTATTTTATCCTCCTGTACATACTTTATAAACAAAGTAGGTTTCTTCGTTATAAATTATTCTGAAAGACTAACAGATAATTTTCACGCCGTTATAGCATTTTCTACGTTACTGTTATTGAATCTTTCTTTTATGATTAAATATAGAGGACATATGTATCTTTTCAGTTGATCTTTTAAAAGTTTGTTGGAATATTCCAATTCACTGCCTATATATAATCAAGCATGAATGTCTGAATGAGGTTCACATCCCCTATGATTATATAGCAGGGAAACCCGTTAAGTGTTTTTGTTTTCAATTTTTGATTTTGGTGCTGTGTGTCAACAAAGGTAATTAAGTATATAGATGGAAAATTAAGTTTATGCTTTATCCAAACGAAAGGTTGGCTCCAGGAGGGATGTACCAAAGTACGTAAGAACACTTGCACAGGCATATGTGGGGTCAAACCAGTAAACAGGGGAAGTTAGCAGCCAGCAAGCACCAGAACAGACAAAAAATTATGAAACTTTAACCGATCGATTAATATTCGGACGATAACGTATGTTGTGTCCCATAGAAGGACCATCGAGTGTACTTAATTGCCACGCCCTCTAGCGGCCGCACTGCACGCATTGACGGTTGAAATGTTGTTAGTGTTGCTGGGTCACTAAGCTTTAATCAATGACCTTTGTACGAAGAAAGGAAGCATAGCTTTATCCCCAGACACTTTGCTATATACGCTAACAGCCCATATAGGCAGGAATAGTGATGCAGTGTTGAGTTTGGCCTCTCTCCAGCCTGCCCACCCCTCTGGATTTTGGACGCTTCCTGGCTCTTGTGTTTGGCATCTCATTACGCGAGCTCCACACGTGTTGGTAGGTTCGCCTTCGCAGCCGCCTGTCACACGTCACCTCTTTTGTTACCGAAAATCAATTAATTAGCCCGTGTTTGGAGTCGTAGACGTGTGCGGGGGACCATGCCCAAGTTCCGCCAGCGAGTGGCGCTTTGTTCCTTCCTCTCCTAAGTTACTTTCCTTACCAGAGCGGTACGATCGTGTGGAGAGGCGACAGGACCTTTCTGAGAAGGCTTCTGAGGTGTCTCTGCGGCGTGAAGTTTGCCAGATTTGCAGTGGTGTGTAACGCGCGGACGTGATTTGTTGTCTCGGACGGGGGCAGGTACGGCAACCGAAGACGCTCCGGTGTTTTCGTCGTAGACAACAAGTCTACAGTGTCTGTCCTGTGATCGGGACTGACTGTTTTCAGTTCCCGCGACTACTGGAGAACTTGTGCGGCGGTGTTGAACATTCCTGCACGGTGTGTTTACCATGTAAACTGCCCCCTCACGAGAAGTACTAGCAGGCCGACCCAAGGTGCGTAGGACGGCGGCCGGGAAGACTTAAGCATGCGGCCGTTGCGGACTGCCTCGCCAGCGGCGACGACCCTGCTACTATGGACATTCTGGCTGGGAGCCTCGGCTACTAGATACTCCGAGGACCAGTGCGACTGGGCCGGAAGGTTAGTCATTCTCGTTCTGTTCAATAGATCTGGGGTAAAACCCGAGTTTGTACCGATCAGTTGGACGAGTTGAGCGGAGACGCCCCGTGTGTTTGTGAAAGGAACCAGTGTTGTTGAAATCTGTGTTAAAATGGTCGCCGGGGTCGGCAAGCGTCAGTTTCAGACACAACTCTGTTTACAAACGTCTTGAATCCTTCAAACGATCTCTTTACAGACTTGTAGAAGTCTCTGTTAGCAAATCTTAGAACCGGCCTACGAGGTGTTGTGATATTTGTTAGGTAGAATTTCCCTGAAAATGTAGTGATTTCGTTCTGAATCTTGGCATTCAAGCAAG